TGTATCCAGCTAGGTATCCAGTCTAGTCTAATGAAAGGGACTACGAAGTTGGACTACTGCCTGTTTCTAGGTAACAACTTGTCGGAAACCTCGCTTTATTAGCCAGAGTCGAATATAAGAGCTTGTTTTACAAGTTCTGTTACAACATGCCTTCAAGGTCTACTAGTGCCTTCAGTCTTTACAACATTTCTACAAGTTGCTTTACTATGATCACATTTATTTAGTTCAACTAACATTGTCCTTAAAAATGAGTTGTTTACTTTATGTCCTGTATGAAAGGTCATTGGTAGTAAAAGCGTGGGTCCTCAGAAGACCTTGGGCACTAAACGCGGAATTAATGTTATTTAATTTTTTCTGGTTATGCAGATGCACGCAGGATTTTAATTGAAATATCATTTAAGCAACATATTTGATTCCCAAGGAGGAAAATCAGCCTTAATCTTTCGAAACAATTGTTTTCGATTAATTCATCCTCAGGTCGTTATAATAATGGAAACTAAGTTTGAATAGGTGAGAGCACGCTACAGCAGATCAATTGATTAAGCAGTTCAAAGTGATTTCCCGACATTGGTCAGATGACTAGGTCACCGATGTCATATGACTGTTGGGAGGTGATTCCCTCCTTTCGTTTGTGGTTGGCGAAAACAATTGTAGCGAAGGCACCCTCTTCTTTTGGGTGCATACTTCTGGATTCATTAGTCTTATACACACCACATCCGCGGTAGCAAGCAAACGATTCCTTATTCTGTGGTTCGGCTGTCGTGGTACTGTGTAGATAATGTCAAAGGCGGTTTGTTTGTCAACTTGGTGTCCGGTGTACACCATATGTTTTGTTATTGAACTGGAGCTGGATCTGTTAGTCTGGTAGGTGAGCGGATTCGGGAGATGTTCTTTGATTCTCTTACCTAATTGTCGGATGGTTCGTCTAATGTACCTAAACCCACAGGGTCAGGTAAACCGATAAACATAGGCTGGTACAAATCTGCGTAAAGACGTTTAACGCAGCCGACCTAAATGTGATTAATACGAGTCAGCCCCCATTTACTCCTAGATTTGAAGACCAAGTGTCTGATTGTCTCCAGTCAAAGGTACGTTATCGATCCAAAAGAAGAGAGTGCAATCGCTATAATTGCTTTCGCCAACCACAAACGAAAGGAGGGGATCAGCTCCCAACAGTCATATGACATCGGTGACCTAGTCATCTGACCAATGTCGGGAAATCACTTTGAACTGTTTAATCAATTGATCTGCTGTAGCGTGCTCTCACCTATTCAAACTTAGTTTCCATTATTATAACGACCTGAGGATGAATTAATCGAAAACAATTGTTGGTCGGCAGTTTACTGCTTCTTCGCTTTTGATTAGCTATGGACGCAGTCTGATGCACTAACTGGTAGGAAAACTCCATTTAACCTTGGCACTGAACAAATACATTCTGTGCGGAAGCAATCTGATCTCCTATGAACTGTTCTCACTAATAGTTGAACACTTTTCAGATGATATGCTGGTACCTACTACTACGAACTGTATGTTACAATTTATTTGTCTTCTCAATTACTTTGACCTAACTCATCTGTTCTCAGTATCATCACTGAATGAATCAACTGCGTATTTCTGCTCTGAAATGTAGCCATAAAGTCAAGTGGAAACGTGCACCGTGAAATGAATTCTAATACCGAGTTTATCTGCTCATCAAAAGGTGACCAAATGTAATGATTGTACATGTTGCTTCTCTATAACTGCAAATTCATGTCTACACATTTCGCACTGAGGATAATAAAATTGGAGAAGTCATGGATATTGAGGATCTTTGCTGCATTTCCAAAACAGTTTTACTTAGATCGACAAAGCCCACTGACACTAAGCTCGACTGCTGGCAGCAGTTGTGTTCTCGAACAGACCATTGTTTGGCATAATATGTGAGGGTTATACGCAGTTGTTCGGCCGTTTTTCCCACTGAGTGAGGCTGCATGAACCGCGCAGGTGCACTGCCCACCTCCATCATACTACGAATAAAGGTCAGTAGCATAGAACACGTGCTTAAAAAGCCATCTATTTGGCAGCAGTTGTGTACAGGCATGTTTTCATTGATGATATCTTATCTCGAAAAAATACATTTGTGTGGGATATGGAAGATCTGGTGCGATAAAATTTGCATGGGATAGCAATCAGGCATCCCAGTTTTGCTACTCGTACAGAAACAAATATTGTAGCCCCAAACAGAGGGAGTAGTGACGCTGTCTTATGTTCCTTGGCTCCCCGATAAGTGCTTACAGCAACGTGAATTAATGATAAGATGGACAATCGCACATAATGAGCGCGGTGGTGTATATGGTTGGCAGCATCTGGTTTCGGATTTGCCTGTCACTGTGGCCAGCCACAGGACGCCTGCGCCTACAGAGGGACCATCGGTGGCTTGCGCTGCACCACACACAGCTCCAATCATACACCCCATATCCAGTGTAAACCCGAAGGAATAAGACCGGGAGGCATGTAGATGGGAGCCACGTTTCATCAACCGAGCCGGCCCACACTGCTTCACAGGCAAAAACAAGCACGCTGTATTTGGGGAAGCATTCGTATACTAGGCGGTGGCCCGCTCCACACTGATTGCATGGAACCGCTCTTCGAGCCTAGCGCGGCCACAAGGACGGTGCACCCCGTACCCTTCAGCAACGATCAACTGTCTCCTAGAGCCACTATTGAAGAGGTAGTAGGTAATAGACAGGTAGGCACCTTGTCAACATGCACATCAAGCGCAGCCACACCGGGGATATCAAACAACAGCCAATAACTTGAAATGACATTATCAAATAAAATAGATCGGTTAACGAATACGGCTATGCAGATATAACTCTTCCCTAAATTAGCATATAATGTATGTTGGTTAGCAACAAAACCGCGATAAGTACAAAATGTCCAGAAGTTGCTTAAAAATGCTACAAATACAATAAAGTTAATAAAGATAACCACAATTAGCGTAAGCAGCGTGGCCGGTTAATAGAAGACTACTCAGATAGGCAGAACAAACCAAATAAGTGGAAGGAAATTAATCCAGCTTAAAAAGACCTAGTTTAAGTGTTAGTTGGTTTAGCGTTGGTGTATAGTGGACTAGATAAAGCTCGGTGCTCCCTCAGCCGGCTGGCGATAAGAGGTGAATACCGAACTTTCTCCTTGTTACTCGAGAAGTACTGTTGTTTTCTAGCCGAACAATGGCTCAGAGTATAGCTGCATGGACGAGTATAAAGATTTGCAGTAGGCACTGTTTGTCACCATTACCATCTCATTCATTGTCAAATAATTCTCCTACTAGTGTCGGATATCCGTTGGATTTTCGAGTGGGAACTATACCGACTTAACCTCGACACAACTAGGTTTCCATCAAAAATGTACGAGTTAATACATTGCTATACCACCTAGAAAAAATGCGTTCTCATCGGAATCAATGAAGTTAGTTCCTTGCCTCAATAATACACTTATCGCTTCAGGTTCTACCTAACAATGGTTAGATGTTGATGTTCAACAATCCCATTTTCAATTAGAGGTTGATGTTTCACGAAGTATTAGAAAACAAGTTAAGCGCTTTAACAGTTTTTCAGTTTGTTGAAGGTAATTTAATTAACCAGCCATCTTAAGATTCAGGAATTTTCAATTTGGGCCACAGATGCAGGCTGGACCAGGCCACTGCATGGTGATTAACAATTCGATTAACTTTCGGTGAACTTTAGTCAACTGAAGTGAGGCAAGTTTCCATTTGTCAGGTTAATTCACCTCTGGGGGATGGCGTTTATTGTTAGGTCACGGTGAAATTAGCACTTAGTATCTACTGTTGGAGGTTGTGTAACTGACTTGTCTTTGATCGGTTCAACCAATATGCGATCTCTAGTTAGCAGACAAGGGACGAATGTGCAGAACTCAGCCTGCAATACCACACCATAAGTGATTGAGAAGCTTAGTTGAAATCGGCGCTCGCCTCTCCAAGGTAACTTCGGGATAAACAGGATGAGCTATGTACATACCCTCTTATATCTTGTCAGCAAGAACTTCACATTGGCTTGTTGGCACACAATAAGTGCAGTCGAAACCTCCATCACTCAATGTTGAAACCTAGGCACCAGAAGAATCCTGGGGAATAACTCTCTGTACCGAAGAATGTAGCTGCCAGTTACCTTACAGCCCCTGAACCACCTCACTCCGATATAATAAAATATGCAGACGTTAGTAGTAAAATCAGTTACTTAATTTCTCTAAGTACTAGCGAACAAGTTTATGCGACTAATCCAAAGAGTTCGGTTATCATATCCTGCTTTAGTCGGCCCATTTAAATAGCTATTCAAGCGTGCTACAGTATGCAGGATTGGTTCCATTGTTGACTGTTGGATTACCCTTGGTATCTCTGAATTGTAAACGGCAGATTAAATGTGGCTAAAATCTGTTTTGAAGTGAACCATTAAAATTTCGATCGCTAGCAGTTTGCATGCGCAAATGAGGTACTCTGTACCTGAAGGGTTCAAAGTAGCGCGAAACCTGCTGTGGATTGCAGTGTCGACACAGCTGCATTGACAGCCTCCAAACTTAATGCTAGTATTTGTAATAGAGCAATATAAATTTATTTAACATATTGAAGGCGTTATAACAAGTAGTACCAACAACAAGAACATCAAAAGGAAGACAACTTCATGTAGATCACTTCCTTATCTACTAGTTGGCCGGATTAATTTTGTACATCTGCACTGGCCACACTTATTCTGAACTCTTCGACCCTTTGTACCGACAGCGTGAGTAATGAGGTGCATACTCAAAGGAGTGGATTTCAAGGGGGGCTTCGGATGAATAGAAATGCCTGTTAGATGTCCAATAATTAGCCGCGCCATGTAAGTTTAAATTACCTTTAGCACCACAACAACATACGGGTCGAGTAACAATTGATTTTGACCACATTCGTATACGGACTATATTTGTCTAATGGAAATGTATCGTGCTGCATCGTCTTGTTTCAGCTCCTCGGACACGTATCGCAAGTCAATGGAACAGGCGTATGCTGAGTTGGATATAAAGTTAAGACAGCTTGGAGACACATTTAATGAGAGGGTAAGATATTCATTTCCACGTTTAAGCAACAATTATTATAATGTCCACCTTAACGAAAACGGTGACTGTATTAACATAAATTGCTGAACACACCTCAATGAAACCATATAAGAGTCGGAATTTCATTTGGGCAATCACACCTCAGTCAGGCAAAAGTTGACATCCGAAAATTGTGGTTATCGGTGTGTTTCAGTGAGCGCAATGCACGCTACTTCCCCGCGTGTAATTTCACCTTTCCACCTTGTTTTCGATACAAAATATGCATTGCACAAGCTCATTGCCAGGAAATACCAGTTAGCTGGGAGTAATTGTGCCTCTTTGGCTGATCAGTCAGTACGAGAGATTTTCTGTTTCTGTGTACGGAGAATGACGTGACCTGCCACTTTCAACTATTATGATGAACCCGTTAGACCACCTTCTATCTAACGACGTCAGTTGCGTTGGCAACACACAGAATATCAGTTAGTGTGTAAAAGGCGGAAGTAAAACTTTTATCAGAGAGGTTTGTGAACAATTGGTTGCTTTATATATTTGGCAAGTTAATAAACCAAACATTTGTGCAAAATTCTCTCTGAAACCATGACTTCACTTCATCGGCTTCAAGTATATTCCAAGAGTTCGGAAATAAAGCCAACTGTTCGACACGCACGGTCGTTTTTATTTCCCAATAGACTACCTCGATGGCATTCTTCTCTAAGTAGAGTTATCAATTGAGAACACTAGTCAGACTAATTTTTTGGATGCGCCAAATACGCTTTTCTACTTTCTCTTACACTATTGTGCAGGAAAAAACCAGCGCACTCAATTTTGGGGTTCGATGTACCCATGGGGTTTTTGGTTGCGCACCTCAACACCTTTTGGGACATCGGTTCACTTTTGAAGCAGACAAAGGTCATTCCGATCACTGGGACGGTATCCGAAGTGGAAAGTTTTCGGTATTACTCGGTCACATCACAGCATTGCGCAGCCGGTTTCATCCTTGTCTGAACTCATCAGGTAGAGATAGTCGGATCTAATAATGGAGACCGCAGCATAGTGGCTGATGCCTTGATCACTTGGATACTGAGAATCGCGACTAAAGCTCGGCATTCGGAGCAACCGCAGAGTTCTCTCATTTGCCTCCTGCTTGATTTCAACTGCAATCTGCGAAAATCGTGCCTCCCAGTTTGAAGCCAACCGATAACATAATGCAGACATCCTAAAAGTCAAAGCGAAGGTCATTTCAGTTGGAAGACTCTAGGAACCATGGAAACATGATAGTTGCAATAGGGTCAGCGTTTTGTGAACGCCAATTTGTCAAAAACTAGGTGATACATAAAAGCAGTTTTAACTGCCCTGGCAATCAGAGAATAAAATTTGACTCACTTACCCTATCAATGCTAGTCTTCACGTGTTGGTTGAGCTAGCACTGTTTCGAATATCTTAGCTTCGAATTCGCCAATACATTTCGGTGAGCCAAAGACATATACTAAACGAATCCATCCACCTCGGAAAGTTTCCACACTAGTATTACTACATTAGCACTACCTTATTCGAATCAATGCTAATCACTACGACTTCAGTCCGAATTGGAACAACTATTAGATGAAAATTTCGTAATACTCCTGGCATGTTGAAACGCGGTTCGTACTATCAGGTGCTCCAACGACATACCAAACATCAGATACTTGAATCAATTGCAGATATATGTTGACACCAACACCTCTTTGACGCCCCTTGCAGTTCACCGCAGCTGTACTGTTTCATTTACTTCAGTTCAGACTTACACCGAAGACTGTAACCTAGGGCTCAATTTAACCCTGCGTGGGCTTGTCCCCCGAACACCTAAGGATGCAATGGCTCATTGTAACAAACTTATCTAACACCACATTCTGTCTTTTCCTCATTTGCAGATGACTCAGCGCTTCAGCCAACTAAGGGCAGAATATGAACAAACCCGGCAGGAAAAAGCAGACCAAATGGAAGAGATGAAGGCCAAAATTGTTGAGGTAAAGGGTAGTTTCGTTTTTATTCACTGACTCATACGCACCTCGTGTGCGTTCAACTCGCCGTTAGCACTGTCCAACCTGATGATGACAGTTCTGACAGCTTGAATGTCACTGTGCAACTGCTGGGTCATTTGGCTGCCGTCATCTGAGTAGCCGGAAACATTCTCAGAGCCCTGCTCTTGTTTCACACAATTTGGCAGAGAAAATAACTGGTATAGTCTGTTTTGGAACTATAATATATGGTAAATATTTTTAACATTGGTAACTAGTAAATCATTGGTTCAAAATAAGTCCAAAAATCCGAATTTTTTGACATTGTGCCACTCCGTAAATTCTAAATAGGAGGTTAACGGGGTCCGAAATGTGCTATCACAAAGTGGACAACAAATTTACTCGTTTATCCTGCCGTGACCCAAATTTCCATACTTGTTTTTATAGATAGACTAAGCACTGCCACATATATCGTAGTGCTCCTCAAGCTATTGATGTAACTAACCGGTGAAAAGTGGGATGTGTCGGACTCGACAACCAGGTTTTATAACTAATCAACAGAACAACACACTTACCGTTGACTGACTATGTAACAGATGTCACTCGCATGCGGATGGTCTGTCAGTGCAGACTTTATCTCAACTCATTCCATTGATAGAAGGCCTCTGACCGGTCACACCATGCGACCATTCGCGGTCTAACGAGTGCGTGATGAAAGGGGTGTTAGCAAATTAGTAGTTTAATCAGTCAGAATTGCACGCTTCTCCATCGGCCCATGAGCGCCCTACTCCCTGGGCCGTCACTCCGGATCCGTCCCCACGCGCAGAAACCGAACGTGTGATCACACGGCTGAAATTGAACAAGGCTTCTGGAGCAGTTGGACTTCATTCAGCCCACTTCGTATTCGGGGGACCTGATCTTTTGGATGGTGCACATAAGTTATTAGCGGACCTATGGGAGTAGGAGACTGTCCCAACAGACTGCAGTCGCTACGTTCTGGCCCCGGTTTTCTAGGGAGGCTGCCGTTCAGAATGCGGCAGTCATAGTGGAGTCAATCTGGTCTCCATCGCCTATAAGTTGCTTGCCTCTATCGTCCTCCATAGACTGACTGGCATACGGGAGAGACAGATGCGCGAGGAGCAGGCAGGTTTTGCTCGGAATAGAGGCTGCATTGACCACATCATCACATTATGTCAGTTGTCGGAGCACCAGCATGTGTATTGGCAACCCATCGTATTTGTGTTCCTAGACATAAAAGGGGCCTTTGATTCTGCTGATCGATGCCTCCTTTGGAATTGTCTGCTGAGGAAAAGTGTACCCGATAAATAGTTAGATGTCATTAAAGTGCTGTACGCGAATATTTCGGCTAGTGAGAGTTTACGGCAAATTTTCGCAGTTCTTCAATATCTCCAGCGGTGTGAGACAAGTTCGCCCGACGTCACCGTTCCCACTTTAACTTCGCTATTGATGAAGTCATGGAAACAGCGTTTTCCGGGCACGACTTAGAAGGTCTGGAGCTGCTCGCAGATGACCAAGTTCTTGAGTTGGAGTAGGCGGACGACATTACGCTCATCTGTGAAATCTACCTTAGGTGCCAAGCACCAATGGGTAAATCTGGCTCTGGTTGTCAATCATTTCGAGCTATGTTTAGCTCCCGCGAAATGCGAACTCTTTCTTTAAGATACGCATGGATACACTGCTGCACTGACCATTGGTGTTGACTAGTTGGAAGTCGTCCAGAAACTTTATCTGTGCAGCTATACAGCACCGTTGGAATTGATGACGAGATCACGAACCGTATAGCAAAAGCTCAGGAGGCTTTTGCAATCTGAGCTACCTGTGTCGCCGACGTGAATTACTCTCGCTATGAAGGGCAGAGTTTATAATGCACCCGTACGCTCAACTCTGCCGTAGGTTGAGAAACCTGGGCTATTAGACCAGCCGAAATAAGGAGACTGGTTGCGTTCGATCATCACTGTCTTCGCAGCATAGTTCATGTCTGGTGGAAACTCCGCGTGCTCTATGAACGTGTTCGGCGCCGAGTCATTAGTACAGCAAGAGCTAGTGAATCACTCAACGCCATTATATTACGCACCAGGCTCCGATGGTTTGGCCACCTGTTGCGCTTGTCAGCACACCGACTCCCGCAACTTGCATTGTTTGCGCGCCGGGGTTCTAGATGGAAGAACAGGAGGGGAGGCCAAGCGATGAATTAGTCAATAGGAATGCAAATTCTAACTTCGAATTTAGAGTCCGTTGATTTTTCCAGGCTGCTGGACTAGACCGAAGGACCATGGACATGTGTTGTTGGATGCACTAGCTAACATAGCGAAGAGCTTGTCTCAATAACAATGAACAATGAATTTGTACGGGTTAAGAAGCGTGGCTTTACAAGTCCCGTTTGATAGTTGGTAAGGATATCGACATAACAATAATGATAACAATGAGTGAATGAGTTGCCGATGGAGCGTGAGGTACCATCGCTCTTATTTGCTGATGACCTAAAGCTCAGGGATATTGTTGATATCTCTGGAGGTTCTGTTGTTCTTCAACGGGCTCTGGATAGACTCTGGGAATGGTCTGTCTTGTGGTTGCTGCCCATAAACCGGGCAAAGTGTTCAATGCTGCGTATCGGAGCGTCTGCTTCCTCCACAATTTACGTGCTCGATGGGAGTGAACTTCCCCAAGTGACTCATCAGGTTGATCTAGGTGTCGTCCACTGTTCCCCACTACACGCTGCAGACAACTGGAAGAAGGTGGCTAGTAAAGGCTTCCGGATGTTGTGGTTTATCCGTCGTTCTTTCGGGACGCTAACTGCTGATGTGTTTGTGAAGCTCTTCTCAGCGTTTGTGCGACCCAACCTAGAATATTACGTCCAGGCCAGTCCACCATGCCTTGTCCGGAACAAAATGGCACTAAAAAGGGTGTTGCTTGTCGGTACTAGGTTGGTCAAGGGGTTACGAGGACAAACGTACCCTGAACGCCCACTTAGTTTGGGGATGCAGTCAATGCACTATCGAAGGATTAGAGGGGACCTAATCATAACCTACCGTATTTTGACCGGGAAGATTGGCCCTGATTTGTCCTGGCTATTTAGTCCTGCTAGATTATATGGTCTCCGCGGGCATTGTGTGAAGCTGGACAAACCGCGGTGCAATCGAGTTAGAGCGGAGACACGGTTATCGCGTCGAGTCATCGAGCGCTGGAACCTGCTTCCAGAAAATGTTGTCAAGGAAGCTACGGTTAAGGGGTTTGAGCGTCAACTAGACGCTCTTGGGTGGCAAAACGAAACCTTTCCTGTTTCCTGACTAATTCCCATATTCATATTTCGATCCTATTTTCTGCACTTTTCCTCGCCATTGGTTTTATTCTCTTCTTTTAACTGACTTCCGTTACTCTCTTACCTTCGCTTTTTCTTCCTCTCTTACTTACTTCACGTAACTGACATAACAGGGATAGCTAATGTAAGGAATGTGGGCATTAAATTGGTGGACCAGGGTGTCTTTTCGAGTGTTTTCCTTTTAGACCCATCAAGAAGTCGGAGTACCCCTATCAACTCCTGAATCGATGGCCCACTCAAGAAGGAACATTTACGGGATTCATTCTATCGTTCCAGTCCCTCTTGAACTTGAACTTGAGAATAAGACAATTAGTACTTTAAATATGAAAATAAGAACTTATGGTTTGCTCCGCCGTAGTCCTGCAATCAGCTTAGATTCACAGCACTAGCAGTTAACGTCAAATAATTTCACGGTAACCTCCAGGTGTAGGATGGAGACGTAGTGCTAAGTGACAAAGTGTAAGTGGATGAGTGTATCATCGAATCGCCTTTTAACTACAGTTAGTGTCGGTGCAGAGACAAACGATTCTGAGAGAGCATTCCACGGGTGACAGACACGAATGGAAAGGAAAGTTTCGCGGCATGCCAGACGAAATATGGAGCTATTTATTTGTCCAAACACCCGTCGCAACAGCCTGACGTGTTGGTTCCCAGTGTTCGAGGTTTTTTCGGATTGCTTAGAGAAAGCCAAGTCATCTTGAACCAGGACACCCAAGTCACGTAAGAGAGTTGATTGTTGTAGTACATTCGTTCCGAGCCGGTATGACTAGTTGCTCTGATGTCGGATCGAAAGCACCTTGCATTTACTGACGTTGAAGTGCAGTAAGTTTTGGGTTGACCATTGATACACCGTATCTAGGTCACTCTGAAGCAGATACTGGTCGGCGTTCGCCTGGATCCTGCGCCAGATCTTGATATCGTCAGCAAACATTAGGAAGTTTGAAGCGATTCCCTGTGCAAGGTCATTAATAAACACCAAAAGCAAAACTTGGACCTAGAACTGAGCCTTGCGGCACACCACACTCGACTTCTATAGGGTCAGATAAAGAGCTCCAAACTCTGACCACTAATTGCCATTGAACAAGAAAGTTGGCAATACAGCATAAAAGGGGGTCGCCGATCCCGTAATGCTGGAGCCTGGAGAGTAGAATTCGGTTGTCTAGACGATTAAAAGCCTTGGAAAAATCCAGGTAGATTGCATCAGCGCCTCCTCCAGCGTCAGCTCACTCGGTCCAACTACTGCGTGCGATTACCAAATTCCTTGTACATGACCGCTGTCGACGGAAACCGTGCTACTCAGGAGTGATGATGTTACAGTTTTCCAGATAACACACCAGTGCATCGACAACTATGGATTCCATGAGTTTGGAGAGTATAGGAAGAAGGGATACTAGACGGTAGTTGGAGGGATCAGTTCTGCTTCCACCTTTGTGAATCGGGGTTATTATTCCAAGCTTCCACATAGCGGGAGCTTGATTCTGGTCTAAGCAGTGCTGGAAAAACTGAGCTAAAGGTCCTGCCAGTTGGCTGGCTGCTGCTCCCGATGCCTCTGGACGAATGATGTCGACATCCGGCGAGCTGTGTTTGTGTAGTGAAGTCAGCTTTTGCAATACAGCCTCTGCGGTAAAATTGATGTGGGTTAGTCCTGGTGAGCAGAATACAAAGCTTGGTAGATCGCTTGGTGGCAAGACTCTTTGAAACGTGGGAGCGTATTGCAACTGCAGCGCGTTTGCTGCTTCCACAGCCGTTCTTGTTGGGCCATCGGTCATCCTGAGTGGAGGAAATCCTTGCTTCACATTTCCTAGGCTGTTGAAGTGCTTGTACAGCAGTTTGTGGTTAACACTGAAGGTTTTTGCGATGTTCTGCTGATAGGCGGCTTTGTCTTCTCTTAGCAGTTGAGTGCAGTTGTTACAATGGACTATGTAGTTGTCCCAAGTTTCTAATGCTGGAGCTTCTCTGTACACTCGCCATGCTGCGTTGCGTGCTGTCATCCATTTTCGAGTTCTGCTCCTAACGAAAGCAAATGATGTACTCTTATTGCAAACCCTTATCTCTGAAGTCTCCGCAATCAGCTGACTGAATTTGTTGAGAACTCGAGCCAGACGACATCCGGTGGTTCTTCGGCAAAAACAACCACCATGTTGTAGCGCTTATGAGCTGAGCTAATCGATCGTAGCTGGTGATGGTTTGCAGTCTCATCGTTCTCATTCCGATATTCCGCATAGCAGACGAAGTTGAAACTGGTGACTGCATGATCATTGCGACTCAACGGGCAGTCTAAAACCAACACTTCAATCATATGCTGCTCATTGGTAAGCAGGAGATTCAGCACAGATGGCCTGTTACCTCTTCTGAACCGAGTGGGCAAAGTGGTGATTGTAAAAAGGAACAGTGGTTGCGAGATCTTGTAGACCGGTTTTGAATTGTTCTCCGATCGTGGCAGAGGCTTCTAAACAATCTACGTTGAAATTACCCATGCTAAGTATATGAGTGTACTTTGGTTGTAAACTGCACCTTAAAGCAGCCGCTAGGCGGTAGTTGGTTTCGGGTGTTGAGTTCGGGGCGCAGTACACCAAGACAATAAGGCAAGCGTCCCTGCCTTTTAACTGCAACCGGCACCCAAGAGAGTCGGGGAACTGTGAGTCTGAATCCTCCACGGCCTCGCACTGTAAGCCGCTTCAGTACTACAGAATTACCCCTCCTCCTTTTGTGAGCCTGTCGTTCCGGATCAGTGACATGCCGGGTAGTGAAACTTCAGCGTCCGTCATTCCCGTGTGCAACCAAGTCTCGGTGATACCAATGACATCATATGACCCGGAAGCTTGGCGATCTTTCAGTTCAGCCAGTTTGTTAGAAAGACCCTGAGCATTCGTATACAAGCAGGCCAGTTTCTCGGTCTCTAGGAGCCCATAGAGGGGTGAAGGGGTTAAGCGTGGGAGAATGTCGACTGATGGGAGGTCGGTAGTTGCTCGTCATTTTGTTGAGATAATGATACCTCGTTTGCAACTTGATTCAGCCAAGGTGCGTCCCAATATTCGTTTAGAACCATGTCAGAGTCAATCAAAGCAGCAGTCAAGTTACGCTTCGGTATTTTGTCAGTATGTTTGCGGCTTCAGTTGCTTTAATATTTGAGCTGTGTAAAGCGTTTGCAACCTATAACCGAATTTCAGAAGGAAGATGTTTCCGATTTCTCCGCCATCGATCTAAAACATCCTTTGCTTGTTGCTCTGACTGAACCAGAAGTTTTAGGATTCTAGGGCCGCATCCTCTATAATTTGATGAGAGAGGTATCCTGGTGACCGATAGCCCCACAATATTATCTAACAAAGTGTTTCACGAATGAACCGCCACTGTACTGGTTCGTGCTTTCCGGGCTCTTGAACATCTTTAGAAGGATGTTCTGGTACGCCATGTATGAAGATTGTGTTTAGCCGGTTTTTCTTGGTGTATCCCTCTTCGGTGTTTCTTTTTGGTTTTCGCGCGCTCCAGGCGACATCAGGATAGATACATATCCCACAGCATCCGTGTTATAGCGCGCTTGCGGAGAGCAAAAAATTTTCTACGTCGTTGGAGGATTCTAGTGTTACTCGAATAAGTCTGGATTCTCCATAGTGTGACGAGTTCGGATGACGAGTAATTCGTAATACGTTCAAGGGGCTTGGTTTTGATAATCGTCAGCACGCACAATGAGTTCCATTGGTCTTGGTCGTCCGATAACTTATCCTGCAATGTGATGGCGGTAGATTCAGGGACATTTGAGCATACGACAATCCGGGCACTATTGTTGAATCCCTTTTTCGCTGATGTACACGGTATGGTACTCGTTTGTCCTGACCTGCTGATGAGTGTTGATTGTTTACTGTTTGTCCCTCTATTCGCGTTAACGGTGATAACAACAGAAGAGACCGCAACGGCGTACCATTGCAGCAGTCACTGCATATGTAACTAATGTTCCGGCGGGCTTTGTCTCTAAAAGAGGCATTTGAGCTACAGATACCGAGGGTTGGTGTTCGGATGCTTCATCCTTGTTAATGCTAGATGTCAGGTCTAGTGGAAGTTCCTTAACCAGTCGTTTCGAGTGGAGCCTGAATTTCGTTACCATGAGTATTGTTTGACTCTCGTAGGTACGGCCAGTTTTCGCCCGGCGTTCTACCAAAGTTGGAGAAGACAACAAGATGGGGAAGTGGATGATTGCGGTTCAGGGGGAAGCGGATTGTGCAGCATTAGGTTGCTTAGAAGCCGCTACACTTCCGTGGTGCATACTCGCTTCCAGTAAAGTAATCATATCGTTTATCCTCTGCTCGGCTTCTGCGGTTAACCGGTCGCACTACTGAGCTAGGATTCGCAAGCACTTAACGAGTGGAATGCTGGAGCACGCAGTACAGAACCAAAGTGCATCTTGGGAGCTATTTCGCTTCCGTACCTGTTGTTGGGACACATTTGCACATTTCGGATGATACCATTCCAAACAGTGCGAGCAAGCCAGACCATTTTAACTACTAGATGACATTCTCCTAACCCGCAAATGCCTTTGCCTGGAGCCTTTTCGGATTCGCATTTCTGCCATTCAAAGTAGTATCGTTACCTGACTCAGTGGGCTGGTCAGCGTTCTATACTTTTCCAGCTTGGAGAGCGAAGCACATCGGTCAAGCGAGCGTTGTGGTTGCAAGGTCAAATGAGCTGTCGGCGTGGTCGCGGGGTTCGTGTGACGGTTTATGCAGACGCACTGGCTGACAAGGTCACAAGTAATAGCGGGTGACTGGAACCTGCTAACTGAATCTGAACACAGCGCTGAGCACAGATTGAGAGATCACAAATTCTTTCACTACTGTGTTGAGAAAAGCCGGATCGGAATAAGCTTGGGGTTTTCGGGCTGCCTCGAAAATTCTATATCGATTAGTGTCACACAGAAAGGCAATCGGTCTAATGTGATTGAGTTATCCGCTTGCGCTTAATCACAGATTCCAGTGAAAACGGTTAGTGATGGCACGGACTCTAATCGTAGAAGATATTTCCACGTATGATGGATCACTATGTAGGGCTGGTAAATCAGGTTCAAATGAGCGTACAGTGACAACGCTGCGAGAAGATAGAGAGAGGATGGAGGGGAATAATTCAAATGAAATAGGAGCTCGCATGTCACGCGTGTGTGTGGATGATCTTGGCGTTTGCGTTGTGAGTCCCTTTGTTGCTCCTCTTCCCTTTACTTTCCCCCTCAGATCACCATCAAAAACCCTATACATAATGTGATGTATACCATTATATCAAAAATTTATAGACCTTTTAGTCTACATTGTTTAATATGTTTTTTATTGCGACACATTAGCTGAGGTGTGTTTCTTCCCCACGGTTAGCGTGTGTTGATGAACCTTTATCCCAAATAGATATTCGGTTCCTAGGCAGGCCATCAATAGTCTTCGTTAAATGTTTGATCGCATACACTGGTGGCCTATATGAAGTTGTTGCGTTTACCCAGCTTAAATAACTGGTTACATGGAAGTACAGTGCTTCCGGACGGACTGTTTTGTTTTAAGGATAGGACTATGAATGCTTTGTTACAGTGTAGTCACTATCCAGACCAAGTTTTTGCACAGTATTTAAAAACACGACTTTTCCGAGTGCATAAATACTATGGTGATACTCTTCTGTTTCTTATATATATGTTACGCACAAACTTAGCTGAACTCCTTGGTAGAGAAATCACCTGACCGCCGTAAGGTTACCTGTCCGAAGTTTAACAAGCTCAAGCCCAATTACCCGTCATTATGTGAGGAAGGGATACCGGTCAGACTTATGTTGAGTTGGATGGCCGCAAAAGGTAATCGTGAAGTACGCTATTGGGGGCGCATAGAGCTCAAATTTCAACTGGATTACAGTCTTTCATCCAAGTTACTGGTGCATGCTGTGAATCGAGGAGGAGTAGTCTTGGTTAAGTGGATTAGTACCCTGGGTATCCCTGTGACATTTTTAGGCAGGCCTGCGGATTTATAACATTCGCGTCTCCGTTTTCTGACACGGAAGTATAAACAGAAGAACCTATTGAAAAGCCTGTGTTTTTGTTTTTTTAGTTAACTTACTTTGACCTACGATCGCTAGGTACTTGATCGAAGGTATAACCTATGTATGTGAAATCATGCGCCGGTTCAAATTCGAACGGCTGCTCTCATGACAATTCTTTTTAACTATTATTGCAGCTAAACAAGCTGTCAGATACGGCTCGTCAGGACAACCAAGAGGAGGAAAAGCAAATTAGTGAGTTACGCAACCAAAATGACGGACTAATGGGGTCACTGGAGGAATTGGAGGTGAGTAGATGACCAGGCGAAGAAGACAAAAGCTGGTCAGTGTTTGGCCAGCGCTTTATAATGCTCACCGGGTGCTCGATCTAAGATACTTGTGCCTTTCCTGCCTAAGTTTTTAACAAAGCTACTTTTATCACCACTGGGTAATGTACATAGCTGGATACAGAGCCTGTTAACCGAATTTCATTTAGAAACCAGGAGAATGCATTTTCAGCCTAAATGACGCTTTGCTGGGTTGCAAAGGAGAGGATTCTTGTATCCTAAACCACTCGAACTCGACACTGCTGTTGACCAGCTCAATGACTTCAGATGCCAGAGCGTAATAAAACGCACGGATGATATCATTGCCAATAACAACAGCTCTTGATAGAATTACTTCCAAATTGGTGATGATTGGTGGTGTACATCCTCACACAAACTGAGTTTGCTTTGCACACACATTACTTTCGCCTAGTCAGTAAGAACTAACTGGAGCGCAGAATGGAAATTCAGTAACGACTTGAGACAATGAGAAAAATATAGATATATTAAAAGTTTTAAATCAATGGTTTGCAAAGCGACCTTCGAAAGGAATTTCCCACGCCGTGTTTACACCAGCAATCTGACAGCTTTTCCATCACAGTGGGATTAGCATTACTTTGGAATTAATCCAAAAACTTCAGGGTATACTGCAGTAGAGCCTAAAAAGAGGTACGATACCGTTAATAAAACGCAGGCGGAATAACCGTCATGTGTACAGGCTTTTCTAGGCAAGTTCTTAATGCAGCAGTCAGAAAATATTACACATTATTTGGTAACGTTCTTACATCTTATTTCCTATTAGTTTGTTTTTTAGAGAACGACAATGATGCATCAAGTCCCTTCTTGAGAAAATAACCATTTAGCTCAAAATAGAGTTTCTTCATAGCTAACACAACTAAGTGTCGGTGATAACCATGTAGGCGAGTATTGACAGGAACGTTTTACTCACAGGCCTTTCATGCACAAACATATAGTGCTACTGGTCTCTATATGATTGCATCACACCAGTTAAAGTTCAGTCCTCCTATTTTTATCCAAATCATCGATAATGACACGTTTCATTGTTTACTAGCACAAGGATAAACAAACTTTGGTTAGCAGGCAGGATCTGGCCCGTGACGTCACTTCATCCGGCCCGCCGACTATACCCGAATTAGCCTGATGAATCGTAGGAAACACGAGACTGTGATATAATTTATAGTTAACACTGCACGTCCCATTATCAGTGACCTCACGCTGTTTAATAACTAGCTTGAGCCATTTCAAGGTTGTTACATGTGAGAACGTACTATTGTACAAGTGACCCCACATCGTTGGAACATTGCTGTGTGATCACGTATGAAACCCATTCATCCGTGCACCCTAACATGTATCCGTTCACTTCACAACTTAGTGCCCCAATATTTGTATTTGTTCGATCACCTGAAGCACGCGTCAAATAAAACGCCACTAGTTCATGCATGTGTCATTTTGGAGCTACAATTACCATAAATCGCTGGTTGATAGTACTGAGTTACGCTAGAAGCACAAAGTGTTGAGTTATTAATAAACGTATGTACCCCAATGGTCCCTGCTCTTTTTCCGACGTTCCAATTGCACTTTTTATCTTTTTAATTCATCTTTGTTTTGTTCGGATCCCACTCAGTTCAACCTTTAATAAACATACGGAGAAAAGAAAAGCTTATACTGTGTCGCGCTTTCGTTGTCTGTTTTCTCCGTTCTCGTTCTAACTCCTAATTATTTTGCCTAGTGATTATGGGCCCACGCTAATGATGTTGCTAGTTATCTGACCGGTTTTAATCATTCTTCTAGTAATCCGGCCCGCGCTGGTCATTTATTCGAGTTATCCGGCCCGCTGCGAAAAAGTCTGGTGACCCCTGCACTAGCAGATTAAAGGTCTACCAGCGGACGACGGAGTTCGCTTCTGCCTCAAGCCTATTTGGATGAGTATTGCAGAGTAAACAGATAACCCGTGGTCACTCCCAACTTATTCTGTTTACGAAACTTCGGGTAATAAACGTCCATCTACTTTTCTTTCATGGTCTTCTCATGTTCCCGTGTGACAGGTACCTCATTTCACTCAACTGTACAATTTCATTCTTCCTTGTTTACCCCCTTGTGTGCGGGGATTCCTCGGTGCAACCTATGGCGTTTTTTAACCGTTCGCAACACAAGCTGCACGCGGTTTGGTAAATAGACATCACCAACCACAACTGAGATGCTTTATCCTTGGATACATGTTCCATCGGGTATCTGGCAACTCATACATGGAATAGTAAGCCAGAAGTGGGAAGTACTTTTGTTGGCACACATTTGATAGCGGACTCGAACTTTTGTCATTTTGTTTCATCTCATGGCTCCTATCGCACAACTTTCCGGCAACTGCGAATCGCTAGCTAACTGAATCAGATGTGCTCCTGCCGTTGCGCCTGAGTCGGTCGTTGAGAACAGATCCCAAGTCCAAATTGCTCCTTGAAAATGACCTTCGGCTGGGCCTTTAAATCGGCCGTTGCCTTTGTGCCGAACATTATCTTTGTCCACTGCAGGCACATCAGTACCGCATGAATAAATTGACGGATTTACTTTCAAACAATTACGACTAAAATTATTCTACTCATAAGTAGTATACTATGTCACTGTATCCACCCATTGCAAATAAATGCCTATCGCACACGGTCCCCTGTGGACAAAAGATTACGTCAATTGAAATGAGTTATGAAGAATAGTTTTAAAGAAACGTTACCCTCTAAATTGAATGCAAACATCGAAGATTTAATTTGGCATTATGCGATCGTTCTTCAATCTAGTGATAACAGTACACCTCATTTTCTACCCATTTGTAAACGCTTGCATTTCACAATTGACAGTGTAGAATGTTGATAATGCACCCATTTGTTGATTTGACGTGACTTGAGATGCGTCCTCGTTTTTTGGGAATAGTTCACTTGGAACACAAGACTCAGCTTTTCAGACGGAACCAAATTTCTCACCATCGGTGCATTCCGCGTTTGCTGCAGTGTCAAAGCAATACCTTAAGGGGCTTAGGAAGTGCCTCCTAAACATAGCCGACGCGCCTGCGATTAAATTAACGCAATCAGAACGTTGTAAGCAGAAGCTGCTGTAGCACACTCTGACTTTACCCTGGCCGTACTGAGAATCCTTCCGCACGGAACGCTGAGGACGACCGAGTGTGTTTTCGCATCTCTGCTGAGTCAAGTTTTGTGAAGAACTCATCGAGTTGTCAGAATCCCATCACCTGATCTGATCACTTTAACCGCTTTGTATAATGTTAGACAGTTCTGCATTTTCGATGTCAGCTTTCATTAGCCCGTAATTTTCTCCGTCAATTTTGTATACCAGCTTGCCTGATGCGATTTGCCGAAAAGAGATCTTTTTGCAACTATGTTTTCAGACCGTGGTTTACAACGTAAACGGAGTCCTAACTTATGCACACTTGAATTCATTACTAAAGGCATTCATATGTAGCGTTGTAACTTTACCTTCAAACATGATTTTTGTACTAGGCGTACAGTGACACTTAAACACATGTTCTAGTTACCTGTATCGTTCTCGTAGGAAAGCTGGTTTGGTGGTGGATGGTGGTGGTGGTGATTGGTGGAAGATATGCTTTTCTTTTTTGTCCCCTATGGACTACCACCTGAAACGGATCCACTTTTCGAGTCAAATTGATGCGCTTTACAAGCGTGCCTTTTATGTTATCTTCCAACTATTACGTTGCTGGTTTACTTAGCTAGTGAAATGAGCTTAGCTTGATGTATGAGGTTCAAATAAGTTCCACACTGATGCCCACTTGTTTCTTATCTGATGGCGATGGACAGCTGACCGATAGTTCCATATTTTGCCCCCGGTTGTTTGCCTTTCCCTCTCGCATATATCAGCAATGCATAGAGGAGAGTAAAGAAGAAATCGAGCAATTGCAAGCAACCTCAAAACAAGAGAACGCAAAACGGGAGAGGCTGGATGCGTCTACCTGCAAACGGGTGCAGATCGAGTGTGAGGAGCTGATACACAAGTTGACGGAGCTGAGGTTAGTGAACACAGTGAGCGTTGGTCGTTCGACGCGGTGTGCTCGTCTTTCGCAGTGCGCTTGTTACCCCCTTGATCTCGGCCAACTGATAGTTTTGCAACTGCACTTATGTGGCTGACTGCCATTGTGCACATGTTACACCTTCTATACTTCACCGTTATTACCATGCAGTTATTGGACACGACAACACTCACTGGACTGTAAGTAGTTACTGGCTACAGATTCCTCGATTACTCATACATTACTTAATGCGATTGTCCTTGAATAGCCTTTATCAACCTCATGAGACCCCTTAAAATATCGATACTTGGCTCAATGTGTAGGAAAAACCGGCATCGATACTTGCAACGATTTTCCGCAGTCCGTCAACCAACCACAGAAACCCCTCTAGCGAGGATATGTTATACGAATAACTTATGGCAGGCAGCACTAACTAACGGCTTTATGCAACATCCATCAAGCAATAGTGTATGTCCTCGTCTAAAGCTTTTATTAACCTGTTTTGTTCCCGTTAGCGGGATTTACCATTTACTGTAGTTTTCTATTCTTTTTCATCCCTAGGCTTCAGTTGCTTAATCACGTAACATCTATCTGTTGCGTCAGATGAACTTATGTGAGGACTTGTGTGAGGACGCTGATATGAAACAAACCTAAGCTGAACTACTTTAGAATACAAAGAAAATCCATAAGTAAGATAACATAGCTGATTTTGGCAGTATCAGTCAAAAGCTGATGGGTAGAATAAAATTTGACACTGCAGCAGAATTGAGTCGAATCTCAATCTGACCCGAATACTACACTGTGTTCACAGCGGAAACTTTAATTTTTGAGTGTGAGCGTTTCCATTGGTTTATTTATTGGTTAGTTAACTCTTCTTGTAGTTTAGCAAGACGAGCATTTAGGTATAACTTTATGCTACAATTTGCGAGAGACTTTGCCGCTTCACCAATTTCACTGATACGCGTTCAAAGTTTTCGTGTTGCGGTAGAAGTATTGGTAACCCAAGTCAGCTATTGGTTGACAAACGAAAAATTGTAACGTTGGTACAATGCGGCCATGTTAACTTGGTTTGGGAAATATGGTGCAAAAAGACGACATGGCTAAACTTTATACAGTAGTGCCCACTGCTCTTAATAACCTTCTATTTCCTGCTTACTTTTTACTTGCAGAGAAATAAATCGGCGCCTGAGAGACGAAAGAGATGAAGCACTGCAGGAACGATTAAACGAGCCAATGGTTCTTAGCAGCCTAATGGACGAAGTGAACGAAGCGTTTGGACAGAAGACTATTTCCCGGGACGCAGCTGAAACGGCTAGCGGTGCGGACTCCTTGAAGTTCCATTCCCGGTGGACTATACCGAATGAAAATCAGTAGGTCACATGTAAAGTATGGGATTAACCCAATATAATTGCTTGTTTAAGTAGTCCTCAAAACCAAGGCGTCGTCGGGGTTTGTCCTAGTCTCACAGACTTACAGTCCGATGAAGAGTATGAATTCGAACAGCCATGGGATGACTCATTGAGGGTCGTGCGCTTAGGCACATCTCCACACACAAGTGAAGAGACAAAAGCGGCCGAAATGTACAGCATGGGGCTAACGCAAGAACCAAAAATGTAAGCTACCTTGTGAGTATTTATGGGTTGAACTGCGACCCACTCTTTTTCATAGCCATTTTGTACCCTGTCGCTTTTAGCACGACAGATTTTGTGCTATCCATCTGCATCCGCAAACGTTTAGTCCAGTTCCCTTTGTGATGGTGGCTGTTTTTACTTTGACATTATCGGTTGCTGTCAGTAATGTGTATTACTGTCCCTGTTTAAGAAATCGGTTTCTCTATTAAAACTGTTGTCACCCAGTTGGTTCCGATGGTTTGAATAATCACTGCAGCTCTGTTGCATGAGTCAGTAGGATAATACCGTATTGTCAAATTTGCACTAAACATTAAACATATACATTTACTTTATTGCAAAGGAAACGCTTACAGATATAAGATCTTTTCGCATTGATTGCTATTTCTCTTAACCAGCCAACACAAGCAGAACCTCGATGCCGTGAGTTATGCGTTCGCACTTTTTGCAGGTAGCCGGTTTCATCCTTACTGAATGTGTTTCTTTGGCGGACGAGATGTCGTTGTTTGCCAGCAATTTCTTAGTTTACTTGTGTCTCATTTTCAGTCACGGAAGAGGCGCTCGAGGTTTATCGAATGCGGCAGTCCGACTCATTTGTCAATCATGCCATCTACTCGGACTGCGGCTCAAAAAACCGGGATCAAGAGTTGCATGTCTCTGATGGGTGAAAATGTACATTTTATTCACTGGCGAAATAGATTCTACTCTGAACCGATTTGAGTGTAGTAGAATGTAGGAAACAAGGTGTGTACGTTTGAACCTTGAACGATTTGACTCGAAGTGCTAAACAACACTTAGTAGACACATGACGCGATCCGCACTGATTGAATAGCAGAAGGCTTTGAAACTAGTTTCAGTTTCAGTCGCCATAGTGTAAAACTAACTTGACAGTTTTGTGCCTCTTATTGTCAAACGTATATGGATGCTAAATAATGATCTAAAACCAATTTTAGGACTCATGTGGGATGTAAGCGTGGCACTTAGAGGATTGCATAGGGATCACTTGGATTCCAGCTTTTATATTACTGATATGCAAGGCTCCTCTAATGTCTACATCTCCTAGGCTGACGAAAACATGATAATACCACGGCCTAGCTACTTTCGGTTCCACTTGGGGTATCAGTATAGCGTTAGAGTTGGGTAAAATATACAAGTAGCAGTGCATACTGTTAAAGTGTGTTAGTCCATGCCTAACCAGAGATCTTTATGTACTTTCAGTGTTTGGTAGGTTGGAGATCATCGATTTCAACGGTGCTTTAAACGTGCGAGTTTCGACCGTATCTTTAAGCTTTGCACTGTCTTCATCCATCGTGACAACATACGGCTAAAAATCTTCAAGCTGGTAACCAGTTAGTGCACGACTAACATCTTCCTCCACCTATCTTGGCAACCCTCAAGGTGAATAAAGAAGGGGTGCATTTGTAACACAACCTTAAAAACTAGGTTGACTTGTTGCACTGACCATCCAGACTGCACCACGGCACTGAACTGCCTGTCACCGGGTTATTGACTAATCCAAGCTGTGTAGCCTTTAAAAATGCCCAGGAATCATTGCAATTTGCGTGGAAACAAATATTCACGTGCGGAATGTAAATTTTTATTGTCACTCTTAGTGTCGGGATTTAGCGCGAACTTTCACAAAATACGCGAATTGAGGGTACTTAGTGGTAATCGAATGCAACGGTTTGGAAAATTGAGATCTGGTACTTCGATTATGCTGTTTTTTGCGGTGATGTGCTTTCAACCTTGTCCTGAAACCTACTAGGTGCTCGTTCTTGAGGAATCATTAGTGCGGCCGGTCGAAATTTCTGATCCCGGCCATCACATCACCAGATGAGTTCAAGCTGATGCGGGAGGTTATGCAACACTTGCCAAACAGTTACAGCTCCAATGAGCTTAAGCAGAACTTATATTAGTTTTACTTTATCACGCTGGCAAATTGATAATAATGATTCGTTGTGAATTCTTGTGTTCACAATTTTAGTATATATGCCTGCTAACCAGCGACTTGCATACATTTTGTTAACTTCAATCGCAGATTATTCAACAGCCCTTTCCCAAGTCGGTTACGCGTCTCAGTGCATTTAAAGTAATTATTGTTGGTCATGGCAAGGTGGGTAAAACCGCGTTTGTCGAGTGTGCATGCCGTATGTTCAACTCCAACGTTAAACAAGATTTCGGACAAGTCTCTGTGTGGATATGTCAAGTTCCTTTGGATGGCCAAATCACTGTGTTGAGCTTATTGGACACACCCGGAAGGGAGAAGTGAGTTCCTTTCGCAAACAGAATCCCACCTATTTAAAATGAAGTACCTAAGCTCATCATTGCTTTGCAGCTACGTCACATAGGATTCTCATTTTTCGCTGATCTGATTCAGTTATGCCCCAGGAGTTCGAAATCTATACCATGGTGCAGACGGAATTGTATTTATGTTTGACATAAATTCAATGAAGGATTTCAACGATTTGACGGAAGAGCTTCGTCGACATGTCAAAAAGACAAAAAAAGGTCGGTTGCCATGGGATAATACCGTTAATCTCCTGATTGGAAACAAGTGTGATGCAGCGCAGAGCTTGGGTGGCGAAGGGACATTTCTCACCGTCCCTAGAACTTCAACTGAAGCTCTAACAAGAGTGAGTTGGACGAGTTGTGACAATCGTTTTAAAACCTTTTATCACGCTTCTGAATCTCCACCAACATTTCATTTACGTCAACACACTGCGCTATTCGCACATAACTACTTTCTGAAACCAAACACACGGAATGTAGTTTCAAACCTTTTTTACTGAATTGCTGCGCAAATGACACCGAGCTTCCCGTAACGGATGAGTTTAGAAACTTTTAGGTCTGCCCATGTTTATATTGGACCATTTAAAGTTCACGTTGATCAGGTCTGATCAAAAGCATACGTTAATACCCGAATCAAGTAATAGGCGCAGTCGGTGGACACTGACTAGACCTTCGTGTTTATTGTATTGAAAGCGCTTCTGCGTCGATGGTGCAGGAAAGAAACACGGTACAACTCTTAGATTTCCTTAGGACGCTTTGGTACAACACACGAGGTGTTATTTCTTCCGTTGGTACTTTTCTTCGAAGCATGCTACATGGAGAACTCATTTCGAATGAAAGCAGAAATATTATCTGCTTCGGACAGTGGCAACTACGATCCCACTAAGCTTGAATTGTAAACTGCTAGATAGCGCGTCTGTCAGTGTCATGTTCGAAATTTAGAACTATCAAACTGGATGGATGGCAATTTACTGTTTCCTTCTTTTTGGTAAAACAATTGACAAGTATAAACTACAAAATTGCCTTTTATAGTGCAATGTACTGAAGTTCTTTTGTCTCTTACTCTAGTTTGACTTTTCTGTCGACCGCAAACCACCGTACCATTCGACTCTCGAAGCGCCTGTTTTATCCATTAGCCTAATGTTAGTAACTAAAATTGCAGCTCCCCTATCTGCAACATTGAGTGACTCAGTCAACATTTAAGCATTTTTCTACTGGAGTTAATTTCTGGAACCGATGTGTATGCTTTAGGGAAGCTGCATCAATTCCTGTCCGTTTCACTCTTGGGGATGTATTGCTTTAAGTTTGGCAAGGATTGGAAGTGCTACCACTTCCTGTTTGATGACCAATGAAACTGCGGTATAGGTATAAATTTCCACTAGGTAATTATCTGGTGCACAAAGCATGAACAAGCTGCATAGGTTGATTTCGAGGCTAATATCAACTGCACTGAAACAGTTTACTGCTTTGTAAGCTGCGCAAAAGCGCCCAAAATTTAACAGGGTACGGCAAAAAACAAAGGCCACACCAATAGTTGCTGACGATGTGGTTTAATTGACCGTGTAGGAACTAAACGGAAAAATGACATGCGCTGGCCGGATAGCTGACAAAATCGCTAGCTTGGACAGGAAGCCAGAACAAAAATTCTATGAAACGGATGCAAATGCGCCACATTCGATGTCCGCTCTTCTTTTCATAGTAGGCTTTGTGAGGCTGAAACAAAGGAGATCGGCACGCAAAAATTATATTTAATTGCTAACCTAATAAAAAGTCTATTAAAACGCCGGAAAGGCAGTGGACTAGTAATAATTCGCGGAACTACAACTCAACAGGGGACACCTAAACTTTTCTAGTATCTTCGGTAATAGAATATATACATATATATATATATATATATATATATATATATATATATATATATATATATATATATATATATATGCCCCATGCTGAGGCTGATGTTGCATTCTTGATGCTTCTTCATCGCAGTTGGGCCAAACCAACTTACACTTAAACTAGGTCCTTTTAAGATGGATAAATTTCATTCCACTTTATTTGGTTTGTTCTGCCTACCTGAATAAGCTTCTATTATCTGGCCACGTTGCTTACACTAATTGCGCTTATCTTCGGTAATTTTGTTGCGTTTGTAGCATTTTAAGTAACTTGTGGACATTTCTTACTTATCGCGGATTGGTTGCTAAGCAATTACTTCATACGGTAATTTAGGGAATAGTTATGCCACCGTATCTGTATGCATTATTGGATTTATTTTATTTCAGCTTGTCATTTAAAGTGAATGGCAGTTGCTTGATATCCCCCGGTGTGTCTGCGCTTGATGTGCATGTTGACAAGGTGCCTACCTGTCTATTACCCACTACCTCGTCCATACTGGCTACAGGAGACAGTTGATCGTTGCTGGAGGGGACAGGGTGCACCGTCCATGTGGCCGTACTAGGCTCGAAGAGCGGTTCCATGCACTCAGTGTGGAGCGGACTACGGTCCAGCCACCGCCTTGTGTGCGCTGGATTCCCAAATACAGGGTGCTTGTGGTTGCCTGTGAAGGAGTGTGGGCCGGCTCGGTCGATGAAACCTCGCTCCCATCCACATACCTCTTGAGCTTATTCCTTCGGGTTTACACTGGATATGTGGTGTGTGGTTGGAGCTGTGGGTGGTGCAGCGCAAGTCATCCATGGTCCCTCTGTAGACGCAGGCGTCCTGTGTCTGGCCACAGTGACAGGCAAATCCGAAACCGGATGCCGCCAACCATGTATATATATATATATATATATATATATATATATATATATATATATATATATATATATATGGGTAAGGTTCCACTTGAACCCATTCAAGTGAGAGCAGGTAGTGTTGACGTCAAAAGCGTGGGGAAAAGATCTCATTTCTCTTTTGCTGATTTTGTATCTGTCGGCTAATACATGGACTTACAATCTGGGATATATTTGATGTTGCAAACTTTTACTGTCGGCTTATCTATGGACGGGCTTATATTCGGTATTCTGAACGCTTTATCGACCCCCATATGAGGCGAAGCATACCACAAGAGCTGAAACAAATGGTCGAAGCGAAACAACTTTTTCTGAGTCTTTCATTAAAAGGAAATTATGGAGCCTAGATGTGCACACGTAGGTAAAAACAAGGCTGCAGAAAGACCTTAAAAGTGGTCTTCACGAGCACATCGTTGCTAGTTCCTGGATTCAAAGACCGTGTTTAATCATCTCCAGTAAACTTAATCTACCTGTTCACCTGTCCATGCGTGGCTGGGTATCTTGAACTTATCATCAGGCGTTTAGATAAGAGAAGCAAGGAACACCTCCCAAGTTGGCTCTTCAATCCCGAAAACAGAACAAGCGACAGCGCAATTACGGACCATGTAATCAACACCAGATTATCCGCAGCATACCTCTTATGCATAGCCATCGATCGAGTAAGAGCAAGTCTATTTGCAACTTTGGGAGCAGTATGCATACAGTTAACAAACTCTGATCTGTGTGTTCATTAGCAAATGTTTAATTCACTGCAAATTCCCTGGCTCCGACGCAACGAAACTGGACCTTAAAGTGGTGCGATGGTTTGCGTACTTCTTCGACTCATTGAGCTACACTGGATGGTGTCTCCTGGCCCCTTGAGAGCTACACCTACCAGGTTCCTAAATGGTTAGAGATCAGACAAATCCAGCTTTCTGATCCTGCTGGTTGGGCGTACGAAATGAGATGACATTCACTTCTGTAGAACTAACTCATTGCCACCTCCCCGTTGCCTTGCACACAAGCTTTTGAGCCAAAGACCTTGGTTGAGGACCATAATCGTCTTGCTGTCTAGGTCTTGATGCCTTGGCAGTATCTCAGCTCACGTACAACCACAACAATTTCCTCAAACGCTAACTACATCCTGCATCGACCGTGGAGCATATTATCATGGGTCGCCTTATCCGATCCATACAGCAGGGCGGATAAGCGCAAACATGCTACCGCTGGCGCCTCCTTTTTTTCTTTTCCACCGGTTTCTCTTACTCCTCTCCCAACCCCCATTGTTAACCTACGGTCTGTAGTTCCCGGTTCAAATGGCAGCAGCCGGAACGCCACTGGAGTCGAACCATTTGCAGCTACTTTCCCGCACCACCCAATAGACGCCAATCGGTAACAGTCCCTTATAAGGCCACGATGCCCCGTTTCCCTGGTGGTGTTCAAGGTTCGCACTCTAAGACAAATAGACCAACAAGCTACACTCGCATACACTTTAGACACACTGGGTATTGACGTGTGTTGCGTATCCGAAAGTAAGATCAGGGACCCTAGTGGAGTTGTTGAATTAACTGCGCCCGGCTTGTCCTCACGCTACTGGTTGTACGCATCCGGAGACGCTGATGCAGCAATCACAGGTCAAGCTGGGGTAGGGATAATTCTCAGCTCCAAGGCTGAGTCATCGTTGGTTGACTGGATTCCGGTAAACAGCCGTTTGTGTGCCGTCAGTTTGACGACACCGACCAAGGTTGATTCACGAAGTAGTACAAACATTGGAAATGTTTCGGTGTTGCCCACCCCCCCAACACTGGCACACCACGACCGCGGTTTCCTCCGGCTTTACACTCATCAGGTGGAGATAACCTGAGCTGGGGTAGAACTCAGTACTTAGTACAGACGCTGCTTGCTTGTGGTTTCCGCTTATGTTCACACCGACTGCAGTTCTGATGCTGCGAAGGACGCGTTATACCACGAACTGAACACACTATCACGCAGTGCTGCCAATCCAGTTATATTAGTTCTTACAGGGGATATGAATGCACAAATAGGTGGCCTGGGCTGTTCCGAAGCTCAGCTGGGTGGTAATTATGGGCTTAACCCCGACCGGACGGACAACGGCGAGCCTAGGTTGCAACTGCGTGAGGAATGCCAGCTGGTTTCAGACATAGGGGGCGCCGAAGTGCCACTTGGCGTCCTTCTATAGCTGGCCAGCGATGGACGCAAATAGATCACATTGCCCTAATTTACAGGCGGCGTGGTTCCATCCTGGATTACCGCTCGTTCTGGAATACCTGCGTCGACTCGGCTCATCCTTACGTACGCTGTCGCTTTTCCATGAACTTTACCGCGAGGCGTACCAAGCGTCTCCCCGATAGGCAACTGAGAAATTATCTCAGCCCTCGGTCAGGCAAGCCTACCAAGATGAACTGGGTACCGAACTTTCGCTCTCTTGTCCTAATGACACTGACCTTCAGTGAAATAGGATCTCAGCCGTCATGCACGACGCAGGAACATCTGCTTGTGGTACTATCAATCGTCACCACAACAGTCCCTGGATATCCGAGAGGCCTGTGAGCCTGTTGACATCCAGAACAAACCTCCCGGCTGGCTCTGAGCACAATGCAACCAGGCGGACTATTAGGCATGAAATAAAACGTAGCGTACTTGCTGACAAGGAAGCCTGGTGGACCAGTCGGGCTCAAGAAATGGAGGAGGCGGGAGCAGTATGGAACTATCGCAAGCTCTTCCAGCTGATCCGCACCACTGGTCCCAGGAAACCAGGCGTCAGTGAGACAATCAGAGACAGCGGGGTGCTCTGATTAGCAATAAGGAGAGCCCTATGGCTCGTTGGGCGGAACACTTTCGTGAGCAGTTCAGTTGGCCCCCTGCTTCTGGGCATCTTCCTACTCAAGTGATGCAGGATGAGCCATGGACGGTTAATTCAGAGGCTTCAACAGAGGCTGAAACCCGAAGCGTGATCGCAGCCCTCAATCGTTTTCGTGCCACTGATCCGGGTTCCCTCCCACCTGCGCTACTTAAGGATGGAGGTGAGATCCTCTGCTAAGCACTACCATTCCTGTTCGAACATGTATTAAAGGAGGAGATCGTCCCGGGTAACTGGAGCCTATCGATTATATTGGCAATGTACAAGAATGGCACTCGAACCGACTGTGCTAAGCATAGGGTTATTAGCCTAACGCCAGTTGGAACAAAATTACGGGCTTCAATACCCGTTCGTCACCTCACTGCGGAACGGAAATCTCCGATTAAGGAAGTGCAGGCAGGTATCCGCCCCGGACGGGACGGTATAGATCACACCATCACCCTGCAGCAATTGCTAGAGTAGAGCCATGCATACCGTAGACTGACAATAGCTGTGTTCCTTGATTTTAAGTGTATTCGAATCATTCCCTCGACGCATTCTTTGTGAAATACTTAAGCGGAAAGATGTTCTCATGAAATATATGAACATTTTGCGTGCTCTGTACTGGAACACTGTAGGCGGCGTCAGTGTCCACGGTGAACTGCCGGAAACTTTCCTAACAACAAGTGGCATTCGTCAGCGTTGTCCCATTTCCCCATTTTAGTTCACTTTCGTCGTTGAGTCTATCATGAAGTGTTCCCTTGCGGAGTCTCACGATGCAGGTGTTGAAGTGTTGCCTGGTGAAAGGTTAGTTGATGTTAATTAGGCGAAGAATATCGTCTTGCTGTTTAACGATGCTGGGACGGCGCAATGAATCCTGAATAGCCTGTCTAGAGTGGTCACATTATTTGGTATGCGCTTCGCACCTTCAAAGTTAAAAATGTTACAGCAATAAAACCAGTCATTTGGTGATCCCTTTACCTTAGAAAACGAGGGAATCGAGGTAGTGGGTCAATTCACTTACTTTGGCAGCTGTATCAGCAACGATTGGCGCATAGCAACTAAAGTCAATTCACGCATTGCAAAAGCCAAAACTGCCCTTTTTTATCTACGGCATCTTTGGCGACAGAAAGGGGCTCCCTCAGTTTGAAAGGCTGTGTATACAAGGCCACAATGAGGGCCGTCCTACACTACGGGAGTGAGACTTGGCCCCTTCTGTCTGAAGATCTGAGGCGCCTTCAGTTCTTTGAGCATCGCTGTCTGTGAAGCGTTGCTGGTGTCGCGTGGCACCAGCGTGTCCGCAACGATGTGCGTAGGCGAGTGTTAGGCACTGATACTCAAGCAGAGAAGCGCCGAATATACTTATCGCTACCGTTTAAGGGTGACGCGTTAGCGCAGCGAACCACCCGAAGGCTTACACTAGCCACTGTCAAAACGTACTTTGCGGCCGACTTACGTGTAAGCTTCACCTCAACACCAATTGTCCGCCAGCAGCTCAAAGACAGGATACCGCGGTCGCAATTTTTATTGTGTGTGCAATTTCTCTTGCTCGTGTCGAGCAAGGTATATTGGAAAAACGACCAGCGATGTCCGTAAGAGCTCGAGAGCATTTTCCTGCTTGGGTATCAAGTGTTGTGAGGAAGAATGTGACGAGCGCAGTATTGTCACACTTAATGGATACCAACCACAAAATCAACTCAAGATTCATTCCAACCGATCTACTGTTTGCCAGGACGCCACACGAGAGCTGTCAGACACCGTCTGCTGTCGACAGCAGAGGCGATCACAATTCGGCTCCAAAACCCGGAGTTGTGTGCACAGAAGAATTTTGTGCAGACGCTCTGTATACCCTGGCCCAAGACTAACACAAGTAAGCAGACATATCACACCATTCCCCTTTGACTCCACACAGGTCGGGCTAATCACATAGCCTTATTGATGAGATATTTGATTTATAGACTCCGGTAATTCACGTGTTCATTTTGGACCTACATAGTTGGGGTTGTACTAGCCTGATGATGATCCACTGAAAACAAGCTTGTTCGCTACGTCCTACTTCTAATGTTTTCTCGGGGTATTATTTCACAACTCAAGCTAGTTCCTTAGAACAGAAGATAGCACTGAATAAATTAGGTTGGCTTGGGCACGTACTACGTATGCCTAGTCACCGCTTACCGTGGACAGCCGTGTTCTGTATGCCAGATGTAGGGTGGTGCAAGGCTCGAGGTGTACAATGTTGACTTGACAGCGGGAAATTAAGTCACTGACGACCAAACCGGGTGCTGTCGGTCCGTCTCCTCTTCCGGGCTGGAGTCCACGTGAATCGCCTTGTGCTTGGCTCGAGACTTTACAGGACATGGCTCGTAACCGACACCAGTGGCGCGTCTGCTGTCGTCTCCTCATCCGCCTTCATGTTTAAAGTGCGCTCGGTGCTGAGTTATCTGCGGAGTAATGCCTAATTATGACGCGTGGCTGTGAAAGCCGCAAGGAAGCGGTCTCACCTTGCCGCCTTATCTTTACCCGATAGTCCGCTGTTTGCGACGATCTGTTGTTGACAAGGTGTAGGCGCCTTGACCCCGAGTGTTTGCTTAGGGTATTAAGATTTTCCGGTAAGTCCTCCTTCTCTTTTATTATATTTATTACCTGTCCCGTAGGTCGTGGTGGTTGTATGGCAGCGATGCATCAGTCCGAATGGTTGATGTACTGCTGTTGATGATGTTGACGTTGATGACTCCCGTGGCGGCCTATCAGCCGGAAAAGGAGTGGCCGCACTCTGCAAACCCACCTGACTTCAATCACGTGGTCAAAGGATTGACATCATGACCACAGATCAAATTATCTATTCAGTTCAGCGGGCCGGATGCGGCCCGTGAGCCATATTTTACTGACCTGATCTAGGCAAAGGTTTGTCGTTAGCAGGTTTAAGCACCTCTGGCTTGCATACTTCTACTGATGTGTGAATTGAGCTGGGTGAACGATCTGCAACAAATCATCCGGAGCATCCTACCCCTATGGGATGTCGCGAAGTAAAGCAACTCGGATGGCTTATCATAAGTTAATTTCCCCGGGACATAGTTTCAGGTCAACGGATAGGTAATCTCTTAAGATGGCGAGTTTAGGAATGAGTAATGTGATGGCAATTCAGCTCAACTACACAAATGAAATCTGACAGTGTTGTTCAAGCTGTGAAGGAAAACCTGAATCACATGTGGTTGGCCGATACTTCACTGCGCATAATATTTATATAAAAGCATCCCAACTTACGTTCGCCTTGCAATGACGCTAGCTGAAAGCTGCTGACGTTTCATTCCCTTGCATTTCTTTATTGCCCCATTAATTATACCTTCCTTTTTGAAGCTTCTCAATGCCACGTATTTCGAAGTCAGTTCCGTGTCGGGACAAAATGTGCAATTGGCAGTTGAAGAACTAGTTAGGCAAGTAAATACCCCGTTCTATTTTCGGATGATTATACCATGTATTACTTTGGTCCAAGCGAATTTATTTAACTGAAAATTGTTGGATTCACGTAGACACCGAATGGGGAGAAGCATATATCCCCAATTTTTGGAGCTGAAACAGTTACCTTAAAAAACAAATAAAAATATGCCTCATAAATGTATATAAAAAGCTAATGGCAGGTTTTAACACTCATAATAACGATGCAAACGAGTGGATTTGCACATATGCGGGTTTTCTCAATTCCTGTACTGACACATCACCCCACCGGACGATGGAATATACAGATATTCGATGAGACCAGTTTCATAGAATGAACCTGAGTTCTCGTCGTGCAGTTCCGTTGAGCGTACGGGGTTTGATGAAACCAATCAATGCAATTCATGAATTCAACTTTCTCATTCGGCGCACCAGGCTGTCCGTGGTCTTCCATTCACATTGACCAGCTTCTTTCAGTCAGTCGATATCTATTTATTTGGGCCTAGTAAGTAGATGAGCTGAACTTAGCTATGGCATTCGAATCCGCTGTCCTGTAAAGTCATGCAATTAAAGATGCAACATCCTTTGATACACCTCGCTGCATTTTGTACCTTTGGCTGACAGGCTTTTGAGGAATTCTCAAGAAACTGCGCTGGAGATAAATCCAGAGTTGGTTGCGGAACAAGAAGGACGCTGCAATTGCAAATGTTTCTCCTGTTGTTAATCGCATTTATCTTTTTCTGAGATGCTGGCCAGTATTGTTAGGATAAAAGGCTTTACAGCTTCCTTGCTTAAACGAGCTGACGTGTTATTCTATTTAATGCGAGACTGGCCCATGTATATTTCAAAAGACCAAGTCACAGATACAAAATGTATTATGTTATTTCCCTGGAAATCTGTAATTACATGATAACTTTCTTTGGAAATTAAACCATTTTCCCATGTCTTTCATAAATACTGGTGGGAAATTTTCCAAACAGTGATGAAACAACTTCGTAGCAATTGCTTGCTACTTAGTTAACACGAGTAAGAGACAATCCACTACACAAAGAAACGCAACATGTGAACCGGGATGTTGCAGTTCGCTGTAGAAGCGATTTCAGTTATGAACCGGCTGTTTTTCGTCCTCATGAGGCATATGATTTATACATGAATAAATGGCTGTGAATCGTTTTATCTCAACTACCGGCAGCTTACAGTAAATCAAAAGTAATTGTTGGGTTTTGGTGTATATCACCAATGTGGGTATTTCAGTACGGCCAACTAAATTAATTGAACACACTGGTGAAAACCATATGTTTAGCTAGCACTCCACTCTAAGCAAATGTGATTGTGAGCTGAACCAGTAGTCTCTATTTCTCGGGTTCGCGACACAGTCCTGATATCTTCAAATGACGAAAGTAGGAAAGTTATTGTGGAGTGGTGTGGCAAGAGTACAACACGCAGAAATTTAACCACTTTCATTGACTTTAAGCAGCAAGATCAAATGGATGGTTATCATAATAAAGAACCGAGTACTAATCAAGGGAGGCAGATTCTGCGTAAAAATTCTCTTCGGTAATTCTCATCAGACCCAAAAATTATATGAATACGACAAGGTGTTAAATGTGCCGGATTGGGCTGCGTATTGGTCAGAAGGTTTAATTCCAACAGGAACAAACCAGTAAGTCACGGGGTCATTGAAGGTAACAAATTATGTACAGGAGAAATCACAGCAGAAGCTGTAGGCCACGATAGAACTAAAGGAAGTAAAAACGGTTTTTGTACGCACAATTGAGGCTTGATATGGTGCATATAGATAGCTTCCGTAATAGGAGATGCTTTCGGAATACGCGCGAGACACGTTCAGGGATAGTATAGAGGACTCTAAAATCGTTTTCCGTCCCTGCATGACCGCACTCTAGAAGGTGTACGATACGTAGGTCGTACCACGAGGCACCTATTTCATAGGATTCGCGAACACATATCACAGTGTTTACAAAGGCGAAGCGAGGTCTAGTGATAACTCTATCCTTTCGCACTTTCTAGAGTGTGGTCACGCAGGGAGGGAAAACGACTTCAGAGTCCTCTATACTATCCCTGAATGTTCCTCGCGAGGATTCCCGAAGCATCTCCTATCGATTCCGGAAGCTATCTATATCCGTGATTATAAACCGGAATAGTTCTTTCAAAAAACCTTTTGTACGTCCATTAATTCTACCGTGGGTTACAAATCCTGCTGTGATTTCCCCTGTACATAATTGGTTACCTTCAATGACCCCGTGAGTTATTGACTTGTTCCTTTTGGAATTAAATATTCTGTAATACGCAGCCCAATCCGGCACATTTAACACCTTGTCATCACCATGTAATGTTTTTGTCAAATGAGAATTACCATAGAGGATTCTTTTAGCTCAGAATCTGCCTCTCTTGATTCAGTCTAGTAAATGGGGATTTTTGGATTGCTGAAGTTCAGCATTCCCCGTGATTCATTCAAGCTTCTGAATCTAGAACGAATTAAATCTTGATGTTGTTGAATTGGAACACTGCCGCATCCGGATAGAGGTTTGGCCAGTTTCTGCCAGTTTCTGATATTATCGTTTATTGTTTGCAGATCGGCTAATTCCATGGCAAACTGTAAGGTACTTTTGCATTTAAATGCGTAAACTGCAGTCTTATTGCTCAGGGTACATCCATTCCAAAGGAACTACACAGGAGCTTGAATCCCAGTACTCTCTAACGTTTTGACGCCCATGGAAAATTACTTAACACCTTCATTTCATGGATCCATATTAACCAGGTACGCGCAAGGATAGATAGGAATGTGACTAGATCACGTGTGATCGGTCAGTGGTCAAGTGGACGCTGATCGGTATGCTTCACGCTGCTACGGTAAGCTCAATTTCAGTCAGCGGTGTCCGCTAGGGACTAATAAGAGTGGCACCAGTGAGCCTTAGAATGTAGGGGCTTTGATTTCGCTGGAGGCCCACGAATGATGCAAAATGATTGCTTTCATAAATGGTTCTCAGTGATTACCTCTCGACTGTCGATGTAGTCATGCTTCTCAATTCACTTACCTCGACTTCCAGATCCAAATCTTATGTGCAACTTCTGTGAGAAGTATTCGCCCATTCGTACACCCAGACTTCTAGCAGTGTGCTCGGTGTACCTGTCTCTACAATTACGAGTGGATTTGTGTAAAGCCTGGTGCCTATACTGTTTCTACGTTGGTGTCTTCACTGAATCGTTCAGTCGTGATATCTTCGACAAGAGCAAGCGCACTTCAGCTTCATTGCATGCATTTTGCAATGATAGGTTCAGCTTGATCTCAGTGGCTTTCATGAAGTTTGAATGGCAGCTCGAAGAGGCTGCTCCTTGATCTCTGTTTATCGTCTTACAGAAGCACTTGGTGAATTATATTGCGTTTCGAACAGCAATTCCTGTTCTGTTGCTAGTGTATCCATAGTGCAAATAATATGGTTGGGTGCATCCGGTTCCGGATTTGCTTGCCACTGCGGCCTCCAGGTGGACAGTCACAGGACGTCTGCGCCTACAGAGGGATTGTTATAAACGCCCTAGTTGGGTTTCGACTGTCCTAGTCGTAACGGACGAACTTCACTCGTTGGTTCCCACGCACAGGGTACCCTAAACCAGCCATTCTAAACGGGGCCATAGAGAATTCCCGGGGGCCCTAGGATGAGAAAATGTTTTGGGGGGCCATTGGGAGGCCATAGGAGACTATGATGGGAAAATTGAGTTTGATGAAACAAATAAAAAAATTCATCTTTAAAAAATGTTTCTGTTAGTTTTTTTCCGCACACTAATCTCCACCGGTAACTACCGGTCAGTGAAATGAAGTACGCACGCAAGTGGCTGTTTACGATGGCGTGAAAGCCAGCTTCGCCAAACTTGCGCAGATTGAGCCGGGCTTACCTCAAACATACAATCACCATACGGCGACTTAGACTGCACAACTAGCATCGGATTTGTCCTCGGCGCTTTGATGTCTATCCAGAGTGAACAAACTGACCACTCCTGAAGACACCATTGCATCTACTGTGCAAACTGTAGTGAACCCACTGAACTCTCTTCGATACACTGCGGCAGTTACCACACAAAGCCACAATGACGCTACATGAGTTCTCCTCAGAATACTAACACTGGGTGCCGGTCAGTCTTTCACGTTCAGTCTTGCGCTACAGTAAAAAAGGAGCTAAAGGATGAAGAATTGATTGTTTATGCCAGTCATTTACAACAACTACGAAAAGAACTGAGGGGCGGGTTTCATGACCTGATTCACATGGGAATCCCAATTTGGATTTTAGATCCATCTGATGTAGATCTCTTCAATGTTAAAGTCCAGGAAGGCCTCATAGATTTTCAAAGTGATACACTATCATGATTCAACTTCAGACAATTTAAAAGCGATTTTTGGATAAAGACAGTTAACAGTTATCCCAGACTTCGGGAAATAGCTGAAATATATTTTCCTTGCTTTTTCATTTCCGTACTTGTTTGAAGGTGAATTCAGCAGAGTGATTTCTCTGACAAAAAGTAGAAACAGGTTGGACGTCACAGCAAGAGGGTATCTTCGATTCCCTGTCAAGTCTGGAGCCAGACATAAGCAAGCTCGCTCAAAGAAATCGGGCTCAAGGCTTGTATTCATATGTCGACAAACATGCTGTTACGAAGTTTCAGCACCTCCTAACCTATGGCATGCCTTACATAGAAATGCCAACAATAATTAAATATTATATTAAATATTATTGATGACTTGTACGTAATTACAGACAAGTTGCTTGATGTTGCCTCACATTAAATGTCATCCTGAAACTGTGAAAGTTAAAGGATGAGGTTTATATGGAACACGTACTGACAACAACCTTAAAACTCAGCCATCATAACAAAATATACCCATATGACCACTGGAGATCACAAATTTACGTCTGTTGAGCGTTGCGGATTGCCGAAATTGTGATGATGAAGGGTGGGGACCATGAGAAATGGAAAGATTTGAAAGGGGCTACGGTTGAATGAAGGTTGTGAATGCCTGGTCTAGACGATTCGAATTAGAAAGTCTAGTGGACTTAACCAGCAGACGTGAACTCGTAAATAAGAATACAAACGGAACGCGTAACTGCCCCACAACTGTACCGAGACTCACTGAAAGAAGACTGGCCAATAGTAAGGGCGCTTTTGCTGACTCAACCAAGGCAACCGTGCTTTCTACACCTTCATATGTATGGTTCATTAAAGCCCTAGTAATTGTATAAACTATTAGGGAAGGCGTGTTTGTTGACACATGTGTTGCCACTTATTGGTCTCATCTCCGCCAGGAGACGGGGTGGGGTGGATGCGGTCGAGACTTGGACAAATCACAGTTGTTCAGCGTGCTCGGTAGCCGAGGCGTTGGCATGAACACAGCTCAGGAGGCAAACTAGGGACTTGAGGAGAGTCCAGGAGATACGATGGTGAGACTCCGTTGTGATCTGTGCAGATGACTGGGACCTTGGCGGCAGTTTCCTTAGGGAGGCCTCCTGTCTGAACTAAGTAGTTTGGGTCTATGCATATCGACCGTGTTATTCGGATCCGATAGTCTACTGGCGCCGGTGAACTCTGGGTGAGTTTGGTACGGCTGTGCCAACCCTGTAGAAGGGACCATGGTGGCTTGCAGTGCACCACCGACATCTCCATTCGCACACCCCATATCAAGGGTAAAGTCCAAGAAATAAGACCGCGAACCTTGTGGATGGCAGCCACGTTTCATCAACGCGGCCCGCCCACACTCCTTCAACAGGCACAGCAGCACCATTCCTGTCTAGCTAATCATGAAATCCTGCTTCCCAGACGTACACAAGGCAGCGGCTGGGCCACAATTAATCCAACACAGGATGGGAACACTCTTTGGGCCTAGTATCGTCACGTGGACGGTGCACCCTGTCTC